CTCTTCTATTCTTCCTTTTATTTTTTCTTGTTGAATCAATTGAAGCACACTCCTGAAAAGCCACAAGACTTAGGTAAGAGGCATATTATGTTTATTTCACCACAACTGAAAATGTTGCAAGTGGATCTTGAAAATTGTCAGCATTGATGTACAACAAGAAGATGGTCCTATAGCACAAGAAATGGAGGCATTGAGAAATCATATAACTTCAAGTTTAATGAGTTCATCAACTTAGAAATGTATATGATTGCTTGTTTATGACTAGTTTAATTTTTGTTATGACCATATTAGTGACAAAATATTTATTTTTAATTGAATATTGGATTTAACTTGAAACATTTGTTTAGAGCATTTGGATACAAATATATAATTTTCAACATAATACTTTATTTATTTTATAATTAAAATAATTTTTAGGGGGTGATGGAAACATATTTAATACAAATAAATAAATAAATAAATATATAAAGTGCTTTCCCTTTTATTAAACACTTGAACAGAAAAGCTATTTCAACATAATGCCCTTTCTAGCCATTATACACAGCCCATAGCACTTTCACAAAAAAATAAAAATAAATAAATTACAAAACAATTAGAAACTGATTATTGTACCAACAACCCTTTTAACAAAAAGTTTAACAAACGCCAAACTGCTTTCTCTCACAGGAAATCTACTAGCTATTATTTTCACGGCACATCAATCCCAAACTGGCCCTTACTTAAGTTTACAATGTAAATAAGGAAGTATCCCCTTTTGGATTCAATTAAAAATACCAGAAAATTAAATTCCCATCAAATCAAAATATGAAAATCCAATTTTAGTATAAGAGACAATTTATACCAATATTGATACTTCAATAAGTCAATGTATATTTTATACTAAAATATCATACAATTGTGTTTGCTTATTTAAGATGTAAGGAATATAAGCCGCCAAAAATATCATTGAAAACATTAGTATTTCAAAAGTCCATTTTTCATACTTAGTCAAATTTGAGAGAAAACAGTTTTTCAAGTAGATGTGTACTAATCTATATTATTGTGCATCAAAATTTGACTACATATCATTCTTGAAATAAGGCAATATAAAAAACAAAACAAGGCAAATGGGCAGGCCTACTCGGGCCGAGCCATGGGTGGGCCTTGTCAGGCCGAGGGCGGGCCAGAGGTTTCAAAACCTAAGTTTAAGTCCTATCCAACCCTAAAACGGGCTGGGTGAGCAGGCCTAAGCATCATGTCGGGCCAAGTTTTGACTCATCGGGTCTCGGACTACCCACTTCGGTCTATGGGGGCCGCATGCCAAATGATGACACCTAGTGAGTGGTGAGTGATGGGAGTACTTTTTTAATATTTTAGTTCATATGTACAAGTTTACCCCTCAAGTTAACGGTAAAATTCCTCAAGTTAACGATAAAATTGACAAACTTTAATGATATGACCAAATAGAGAATTGTAAGAAGATTGAAATGAAAAAATTAATTGATAGAAAAAAATGATATTGGTAAGAACTCACTCTTCCCACAACCTCCCCATAAATATTATAAAAGTTATAAAAAAAAAAAAACCCCTAAAAAACGTTATAAATAAAAAACTATCAGAAAAATGTATAAATATTCTAAAAGTTAATAAATAAATAAACTAACTAACCTAAGAACTCACTCTCCACACAACCTCCCCGTCACCGCTCAACCCACACACACAACACAACACAACCTACCCAGCAACACTCGCTGCCGCCCGCTCCCACCAAAACCCCTTGACACCCACCCGCACCCAATCCCTTTCTCCTTCTCCTCCTGCTCCTGCTGCTACGTCAAAGCCCCTTGTAGAGGACAGGGAACCAAGAACAGTGCCAGGACTTTGAACGGTAAGAAGCTTACTGTTACCTGCTGGAAATTTAGAAAAAAAAAGAAGAAAGAATGATACGTATAGTTTTACTGGGTTAGATTTCTAAGATACTTCAATGGCTACTTTTCGAAGGAACTCAACCCTCATTAAACCTCTCTGTGTGTTAGAGACCACAAGAGAGAGAAGATGACCAATCCAGTTCAGGATTTTCATGAAGAAGAAGAAGATGACCAGGGCGAGGTTTATCTTGATGAAGCTGACATTATTGGCGAAGTCGATGTCGATGATGAAGGTCCTTAGTCGACTCTCTCTCTCTCTCTCTCTCTCTCTCTCTCTATTATGCATAGAATATATGAAAGTTTTATTAATTTCTTGGTCATTTGGTGTGGACTGCAGATCTTCCTGATGCAGATGATGAAATTATTGGTATGCTACTTCACTAGAACCCATCATCTTTGAAACTTTTTTCATTATTTATGATATGGGTTTTGTTTTCCCTTCCCCTTGAATTAATTCGATTGATTGGTATGGTATTATGCTTTATGGTGGTTTCAGATGAGCCTGATGACTCCATGCACATATTCACTGGTCATACTGGTAAGTGATTCCCTTGCTTTTTTAATTTTATTTATTTATTATTTATGCATTTCACCTGTTACCCGCACATTATGTATTCTTAATCGTCAATAAGCTTTGCTACGAGTTATTCAAAATGAAAATTACATTTGGAAATTTGTTATTTCCAAAATTCAAATTGTTACTCTAAGCACTATATGCATATGGTGGCTGTACCTTATACGTTCTTTAAATAGCAATTTTACCTATGGAAAATAAACATCTCCTGTACATTTGTGCCTATTGTATTATATGTTGGCGCCATAACGCTAGATGCAAAATAGCTAGAGCATTAGAGGAAATATTCTTTGTTCTTGTATTATTACAAACTTACTATGTTAGAGGGATTTCCAGTATCTTATACTGAAGCGACTTTCCAGAATCTTAACTTTTATTTCACTCTCTAGCCCCATTGATTTGAAACTGTAGATTGGTATGTCGCTCAATGGAGTTCTTGACAGTTGCTTGCTTGTATTTAGGTTAGGAAATGAAATCTATATGACCTTTTATTGTTACTTTATCTGTCATATGCACATACACTGATTATCTTTGATTGTATTATAGAATTGGAGTGCAAAATAGCTTTGGCTTCAGGTTGATGCTTTTCTGCTGAGCTAGGCCTATGCCATGACTTGTATTACTTAAAAATTTAGGGTTTCAACTATTTTTCCTTCCCTTTCTGGAACAGGTGAGCTTTACACGGTTGTCTGCAGCCCAACAGATCCTACATTAGTTGCAACTGGGGGTGGAGATGACAGAGGGTTTCTTTGGAAAATTGGACAAGGAGATTGGGCGTTTGAGCTCCAAGGTTGGTGACGAGAGAACAGCCACATACTTTACGTACTTTGTTGTCCATAATTATTCACTTTAGTGCTTTTGTCTGAACCCAATTTTACCTTAGATCCCTTGCTCCAAAATTACTGAACTATGGATTTATTAGATTTAATGTACACTTTTCTCCAATTTAACTTCTTGAACACTACTCTGCAGGTCATAAGGATTCTGTTTCTAGTTTAGCATTTAGTACTGATGGACAATTGCTTGCATCCGGAAGCTTGGATGGAATTATTCAAATTTGGGATATCACATCAGGAAATCTGAAATGCACCCTTGAAGGTCCTGGGGGGGGCATTGAGGTAAAACTTTTAAGCTGTATTTTTACTGCCATTCTACTGTAGTTTATCAAGGATTTAATTTGGATTATGTGACTTCTCAGTGGGTCAGGTGGCATCCTAGGGGGCATCTGGTCCTGGCTGGTACAGAGGACTCCATGGCTTGGATGTGGAATGCTGACAAAGGTTCCTATCTTAATTCGTTTTCAGGCCATGGTAGTAGCGTGAGTTGTGGTGATTTTACCCCCGATGGTAACTTTCTTCATCTCGGTGCTTCTGTCTGTCTCTCTCCCATCCTCTCTTTTTTGGTAAACTGTTGTTATGATGCATTTCATTTATCTAAACTGATTTGAAAAGATTTTTGTTTTTTTTTAATGCCACTATTGATTTAATTTTCTCATGTCTTTTGCTGGTTTCTTAAGGTAAAACAATATGCACTGGTTCTGCTGATGCAACTTTGAGAATATGGAATCCAAAAAGTGGCGAAAACATTCATGTGGTGCAAGGTATCTGTTCGAATTGTCATATAAATTTCCTATGTTCATCTTCCAAGTTAGTTGAAGTTTTGGAGCAAAAAGCAATATAGAAAAGGTTGTATAACCTTAAATCCAAATCATCATATGATTTATTTCGCTGATTATTTGGGGCTAGAAGTAATGTTTACCTTTTAAAAACCATTAGGATGGTGTGAAGATGCTTGATCTCTTTGCTTACTTTACCTCTGACCAATTGATGGTGTAACATTTACCTTCATTAAGAAGCTTACGGTGCGAAAACCGTATATATGACAGCAGAGAAGAAATAGACATTAGGTTCCACAATAGTCAGACACTGAAATTTTGACGTATATACCCAATAGATCGACTGAAATTTTATTTTTGATGAGGTGTTGATACTGAAACATGGGAGGAAGGATTCCACCCCTCTGCTGAATTTGATTATCTATGATGATGATGATTTTTTTTTTCAAATTCTATGTTTTCGTCTTCTAGTTCTATCAGTTGATTATCATAATTTATTGAAAGTACGTTCTCCTATCATGGTGCTAGCACCTATTTGTACCATTTTTATCTTACTCAAAGTTGGTCTATTAACAGGAAGTGAAAGACTGAACTGTTGTCTCTGAAATCGAGCAGTTCTGTCTATTTTCAAAAGAAACTTGAAGCAGATTATGGTAATTTTTGGGTTTTTGCTTCTCAATTTTGACTCGTTTTGTCTTCTAGGTCACCCGTACCATACTGCAGGATTGACATGCTTGGCAATAAGCTCTGATTCAACTCTAGCTGTTACTGGTTGTGAAGATGGTTCTATCCATGTTGTCAACATAGTAACTGGAAAGGTATGATGTGCTTTTGTTACATTCAATACAACGGGAAGGGTATCATTGGTTAGTTGTTTAGTTCCCTGGTTGGTTTCACATCTAAAATTATCAGGCTTTTAGTATAATTTTTTTTTCCTATTAACAGGTTGTTAGTTCCCTGCCTTCACATTCAGATTCTGTCGAATGTATCGAGCTTGCACCAAGGTACATTCAAGCCTCTCTCTCTTTCTTTTGTGAACTGTTGTTATCATGCATTTCATTTATTTAAACTCAAAATCCTGTCAGGCTCCTTTGATCATGACCCATTCTAGACAACCTTTTTCATTTAAATAATTATCATTTTTTGTTTGTGAAATCAATGTGCCTAATTGTAACCAAAAAAGAACCTGATGTCTCTAATCCCTTTGACCGTGACTGTTTATCGCCACATGTGATTAATTTGAGTGATTCTTGCTATAACTGCCGGGTTTAGACATCATTTTATGCATGTTTCTTCATTAATCACTTTTTAATAGGGGATGGGATGAGATAAAATTCTGAGATGATGCAAGAATTCTGCAATTTTGGAGTGGTAAAAAGTTATTCCTTGTTGTGTGTCTCACCTTCATTGTTTTGTCTTCCTCCTAAAGAAGAAGCATGCGCAGGGAAACTCTATGTATTCTTGGTATCTTTGCAATCAATCCGGCTCTTATTTCATGTAGTATACTTCCACTATACTCATTTGTTAAATTGTGTATGGCAGCTCCCCATGGGCTGCAATAGGAGGTATGGATAACAAGCTAATCATCTGGGATTTGCAGCATTCGTTGGCCCGCTCCACTTGTGACCATGAGGTCTGTTGGAGTTTCTTCTTGTATATAATAAATCCTTGTTTTTGCAATATTTTAACTAGTTACCAGCTTGTTTGCTTCTAGCCAGTGTTAGTGTTGGCTGATCATACTAGAGGATTTTAAATCTCTGCAAGTGTCTAATGGAACAAATCTTACTTTTGCGCAGGATGGAGTGACATGCTTGACATGGCTTGGTGGATCGAGGTACCTAGCAACGGGTTGCGGGGATGGGAAGGTTCGACTGTGGGATAGTCTCTCAGGTGATTGTGTAAGAACATTCAATGGGCACAGTGAATCTATTCAGTCTCTCTCTGTTTCTGCCAACCAAGAGTTTCTTGTTTCAGTATCTACCGATGGAACTGCCCGAGTTTTTGGGATTGCAGAATATAAGTAAGCAAAGATAGCCTACTTCATATATTTGTAACAAATATGGTCTTAGAGTTATGTAGTACTTGTGTTCAAAGAATCTGAGATGAATTACAATACATAAGCTTTCCTGATAAAATTTTCAACATTACTGTTCTCTGTTCTTTAACATTTTGTTCCGTGGAAGTTCACATATTACCCCCAAATGAAATTAATTTCAAAAAAGAAAAATACCCAGCAACTCCAACCGGGCCCCTACCTCGACAACTCCACTCCCCTTGGTAGCAGGTGACCTCTCGCCTGATTGCTGGCAGTCGGTGTCTCTCGCTTGATTGCTTGGAGGTACTAGTACTTGGCGCAGGAAGAGAACATTTTCCCCACCGAAACAAGCGTCTCCTGGTTTTACATTCTAGAAATTGATACAAGGAGTTGTTTTGCATGTAACTTGGTTATGAAAAATGTTTCAGCCTGGTTAAGCTAAGCTGCCATAACCAAATTTGAATCACCACTGGTGTTTTTCACATGACCAAGAAAGTTCTTGTCGACTTTAACCTTCCACTCCAAAAAGAGTAGATATTTTATTCGAAGGCTTAAAATGTTTCTATGATGCTTCAACATAGTCATAATCGGTAATCGGTAAATGAATTACATAATCTAAGCCAGGCTTTATGATCGAGATTGCGACTGCGATCTTTATGCTTTGCTTGCTCTTGACCAATATTGCAGAAAGGTTACTAACAAAACAAAGGTTTTTTTATTTTATTTATTTTATGTTTATTTTTTAAATTTTGTTTTATGGCAGAACTGATTTTAAAAAGAATGCTATGCTCAGGATTTGGATTTAGGAAGATACAAGTGTGAATGATTTAATATCCATCTGTTCATTGTTATAAAGAATTGTGTTTGGAAATGTTTATGAATGATTTAATATCCATCTGTGTTGCACGAGAGAGAGAGAGAGAGAGTCAAACCTCTTAAACGAAAGATTTGCTTTCTACTTGTAAATATGTTATATATACATACATCTGTTGAATAAGGAATCTGACACGAAATTGCCAAAATGGAAGGACAAGGGGCTTGATTTGTCAACACTAATTAGAACAATAAGCTTAAATTGGAAAATGCTGTTTTTTTTTTCTTGTTTTTAGAGAGGAAAATGCTACTCTTTAGCAAGAGTTATATTGATTTTAGAGATTACATTTTTCCCAATTTCGTCATCACACTTCACATCGTCAGCAAATCAAGTCCAATTGGTCAATTCCATTAATTAATAGGCATGTAATGCGGTGAAAAAGGAGTTGAGTTATATAGTTGAGGGAGGAATTCAAAATTTCAGTTCATCAGTACTTTGAGTGCTAAATTTACAGTAAACAAAATTAATTTGTAACCATGTTATTTTGCGTATCGATATTGTATCTGTGTTGACAAAAATGAAAATGCTACCTCAATCACAATGAAAATGCTACCATGCCCACATGATCACTTGCCAGCTACGGGCTTATTTAGAATGAGTCACGCATAGGATCGATTTGAGACATTCCTTGCGAGTCAAGGCACTTAGTTGAGCAGAGGAGACTGTTTTGGCTGTAAATACACACAAACAATTAATGATGGATTCTTCTATCAACCTAATTAGTTGACCCCAATCTAAAATTGGTCTCTGCGTCTGATTTTTCTCAATCCAAACTCATTCAAAAAGCTATTTGATAAGGCCAACCCTTCACCAATAAATAAGTAGATCATGTACTCAATTATGCACAGTACCAGCACCAGCACCAGAATCTAATCTCATTTCAAGTTTCTGTAAGACCATTGTTCACAATATGAAGAAAGCCATTGCTCTCTCTTTCATGCTTGTGCTTTTCTTTGCCATCTCAGCAGGTAGACTCTCTCTCTCTCTCTCTCTCTCTCTCTCTCTCTCACTCTGTGGAAATTATATGAAAAATTATACATAAATGTGACTACTAAACGTTGCAGGTGGAGTGAGTTGTAGAGAGGTAACGTGCTATGACAAGTTTGATATGAGCATAGGACCAGTAAAATCTTGCAACCCCAACGACTGCAAGGCACTGTGTCATTCCAAATATTGGCAGCTGTACAACGCAACATGTTTCGACTGGAAGACTTGTGAATGCGCATATTCCTGTTGATAGCCTCCTGCGTCCAATAATGCAAAAGCATATATGATCAGATCATGTATAAACCTAGTCACTCCTACTAATAGTTGATGATAAAGTTGGCATGCCTCTTCACTATCCTTTGTTCTGTTTGCTTTACCCTGTTTTGATTCCACATATATCTGCAGCTCATGCCATTGATAAGTTGTTTTTGTAGAGAACACACAGCACACGCCAAATCTGATTTGCCCCATATTTCTTTAAGCACTTTTTTGCCTGCATGTTTCACAAGTAAATGGGGGGTCACAAAAATATTCACCATAAAATTTCTAAATCATAAATGTATTAGTCTCCACTCGTTGTGCTTAATTCTCCATTACCCATTAGAGCAACAGACGCATATGGCTCTCTGCAGTTGGGGCAGTTTGGGGTTGAGCATTTGCTGAAGGTAATGCTGATCACTAATCTGCACAGAAAAGATAAGCAATGACATGATGGAGTTGGTTTACTCGATTCGATTAAGCATATGATACTTGTGGCTGTTTGCCATGTTAAGCTGTGAGTATCATAGTGAGGTTACCTAAGTAGAATTTTGTATACACCTGTATACTCAATTACAAAATAATTTTTTTTTTCCTTCAAAATCAATTTAAATCATCAAGAATTTAAAAATCTGATGAAAAAAATAAAGAGTATATGTATTCAAACAAGCAGTTATAAATTCCAAAGAACTAGATACAAATACAATTCAGAAAAATGAACTTGTCAAAACAGGCCTAAAACTACAGATATTCAGATTTGTTAAAGTTACTTATATTACTAAAACCGGAAATTTGCATCATGTACAAATGACATTGAGCAGCCAGTTCGTAAACTTAACAAGTGATCTAATAAAGAGCATACAAGTGCTACATAACATGAAATGATATAAGAGAAGACGGAAGAAAATTCCTAGTTTTCACTTATGTATGAACTGAAACAAATCAGAATGAAAAGCTTAAAATCTTCAAGAAGTCGAATCAACCTGGTTAACAACACAAAAACAGGAAAATAGAGAATGTGCTATTGTTTCGCACCACCCTCAAATCCAAAAGCACATTCATCTCAGGTCAGATGAATTTCCAAATTTCTTTCTCTTTCAAAGTTCACTACATTCCTCTGTAACAGGTCAGTACTATGTTGTATAAAACAACTTCCTCAGGATGTAAGTTCTTTCATATGAGTCTGGATATGAGTGGAAATCACTTGAAAAATTACAGAGAACACATTCAGAATTTGTTGCAAATTGCAATGTATGTGATTAACTGGTTAACTCGCAAACCTAGCATGCTTGGATCAGGATACAGAGCAGAGTAGTTTCAGAATCGAAGCCACATCTCCTGGGTGTAATATGGATTTGGGGGTGCTTATATAAGGAAGGACCCATGAGAAAACACCTTACAACCATTTCAAACAAACGAAAAACAAACTGAAGAATATACTGATCCCTCTGAATGGAGCTGCCCATTATTTATTCAGACTAAAGCTTTGTGCCTCACAAACAAGAACTATATGCTAATTCCATCCTAGAAACTGGCAACAAACTGAGAGAGAAGCAAATAGAAATATATGAATTAATATTCACCATTTATTCAAGCATAAGGAATTATGAGCAACAAGCCAATTACAACAGGCAATCTTATTGCTACTGAAAAAATGAAACAATGAATGAACAAATGATGAATGAATTAAGAAATAAATGGAACTTTAAATTTTTATTTTTATTTTTATGAAGCAAAACTTTATTAAATGATAAGAATGCTGCAAAATATCATGTCAAAGCTAAAAAGTTTTGCTGTGATTTCGGCAGTGAGCAGTTTGTATCAGATCTGCGATAACTGGCATTTTTGTACAAGATCTACTTATTTCAAGTTGTAACGACTGCAGAATGAGTGATTTCTTGCAGCATTTGTGGATTTCTGTAGCAATAATAATGTGTTTCCTGGTCCTGTAGGATAGCTTCAGGCAGCGTTTTGGATCTTGTATCATTTCCAACTATTAATCTTTTCCAAAAAAAAAAAAAAAATCCAACTATTAAATTAGTAATTCACTTGATGGAAGGAAACAACTTGTTAAGAAACCAGAAAGAGAATCTCCACAGGCCTTCATTTTGCATATGTACATTTCTTAAGGACACAGGCATTTTTGTTTTCATAACTTAGGGAAACAAGCATTGCTCAGGTAGGCAATGTTGCTAGAAGGACTGTATTGATCAAATTCTTGAGCATATCCAACCACATCTTTAGCTCTACCTAAAATTTGTTAGGCAGGGAAAGATAAATAAGTTCACATGATCTGATGATTATATGTATTTCACAACACAAGCCAAATCAAATAATCTTCAAATACCGAAAAAGGCACATCTAAAGATCAACATATACTAACTGAGAAAAAAAAAGAAGGAAACCTCCAAATTTGATTTCTGAAGACGCTTGCTTCTTATGCTGTTATCTGTAATGCCTCCATTCCTGGGATGTACACTTAGATAGCATTATCAGACAAACAGAACTCTACACTACATCACCATGCTTCTATGTAATGACAGTACATCTTTGCTGCCAGCGAACCCAGAGTAATGCATTTTCCCAAATAAATGAGAGAGAGAGAGAGTGAGAGAGAGAGAGAGAGTTTGCCAGTCTCGATTCACATTTACCTGCGCTCAAGGTCTAACATTCTATGTTGTTGAAACAGTACTTCAAGGTGCAAAAAGGATGAAAAAATAAAAATAAAATGAATATGCCAGCCATGACTAACTTAGCTTAGAAAACTTGATCCTACACTACTTGGACAAAAACTTTAGTCAATTTAGACATTCATGCAAACCTGTTGTTCACACCAGAAAAATGCAATGTAAATTAAATAACCAATGAGAATCAATCAAAATTCATCACACCCGACAGTGGCACTGTCTCAGTCAGTATGTTGGATGGCAAAAAATACTGGTTGATTTTATACATCCGAATCTGACCAATCAAATGTAAAGCTAGTCATTTCAGGTGATTGAACCAACTACTTCCACTTACTATCCCAGTTATGCTGCATAACACCATAACTATTTCTTTATGAATCTGTAACCCACTCGTATTTTTTGTTTTCTTTTTTGGACATTTCACACCAATATCATGGCAATAAAGGACTGAGAAACATTAAAATAATTTAAAACAAAAATACCAAATAAGGTGGTCAAACAGGTTTTTCTTTCATTGCATTGAGCAATCCTAAGAACTACATAAGATGCATATAAATGACCAACAAAAAGAAAATCAAGCTATGTATAACATAAAAAACATCAACATAAACAACATACACAGAAACGGATGAGCGTGAATAACATTTTAAGATAAATTTGTTTTACTGATGTCAACAAAATTCATTACAGTGAAACAGTGCGCCTATAAAGTACTTCGTCATCACTCTCATCGTCCTCATCTGACACCATTTCATTTCCAGGCAGCTCTAACTTTCCACCCATACAAAATAATGGACCTGGAGTCTCTGTTTCAATATACTCCCCTTGCAACCTCTCCTCAAACCTCTGATCACTACAGTTCAGGAACCATTTCAAAGAACACCTGATCTCCTTGCTTCGCAACCTCTGGTACCTAGGTTTTATCCTGGATTCCAAGCTGTAAGTGAAGTATTCCGGAAATTCCACAAGCTCTTTCAGTGGCCTACCCATTTCACTCTTAAAGAAGTAAAAGCTATTCTTCATGAGCTCAACACGCAATGCAATTAACTGGGGACACTTTACAATCATCTTGGCAACATCCTCGGAAGGTATTCCCCTTCCAAGAAGGAACTCAACTGGCTTCATTATCACATGTTGATGAAGGCTGACAATCTGCGGCATCTTCTCTATCACTCGTGCAAATCCTTCAGGATCAATCTTAAGCTTCAAACTAAAGAAATACTGCTGTGAGGACATTTTGGCCTTTAAAGGCAGCCCAAGAATTTGGGGGTATTGAGCAACAACCGAAGCAAGCACTTCCCTCCGGATCCCAAAACTAATCAAACAGTCCACATTTGGTTTAACAGTCTCCTCAAGATCATAACCAAGCAAATATGCCCGCTTCTCCAACATCCTAGCCAAAATCTTTTTTGGCAAGCCTAAGGAAACCAAAAAATCAACAAATGGCTTAATCACAGTCCCAACTCTCATTCCCAAAAAGTAAGGATACTGTGTGACCATCGGACCTATATCCCTAGGATTAACACCAATGCTAACAAGATATGCCACTGAAGTACTCATTGTCCCCTCAAGTTTATACCCGAGAAGCTCAGGATACTTCTGCAACACATAGCCAATATCATCCTTCTCCACATCAAGCCCGCGAAGGAACTTAACAACCGGCACAAGCTCAACAACCACACTAGCATGTAATACTTGTGGGTAATTTTTAACAAACTCACCAAGTTTCGACCTTGGAATCCCAATTTTCTCCAAGTAAGCCAACACAGGTATCATATTTTTTCTCACACTACATCCGAGCATCAAGGGGTACTCATTAATGTCATCGCTGGACAATCCTAGTTTCTGAAGGAACTCAACTCTCTCCCTCATGACGTCAACAGTAGAGGGTAGCTCTAAGTTTTCTAACTCATCAGGAACTATGCCCAAGCTCTTTAAATAATCACATATTATAACCCTTGAGACAAGCTTCTCTTTGCGGCCTTGGACCACACCCCAAGTGACAGAGGGCATCTCATACTCTGGAAACTTTGAGGACTGTGTTGAAAATGAACAATTCTGTAAAACCCTTGAAGGGTTTTGGCTATGGGGCAGTTGGGCACATGGGTTTTGGTGGGATTGGATTGATTGTGGGATTGGAGTGAGTTTCTGTGAAAGTTGTGGGTTTTTGGGAACTACTTTGGCGATTTGGGTGATGGGTTTTCTTGCTCTGAACAGTGAGCTAATCATTTCAAGGGAAGGAAGAAGAAGAACTGCTTGAAACCACGAAATAAATCAAGAAATTGTCTTTAGTTTTGCAGCTATTTTTATTCTTTGGAGTATTACAAAAGGGGCTTACTTGGTTGGTTGGTACTGCTCTCAATCTTCAACCTGATGAGGCATGGTCTCAGGCTTCAGCACGTTGAAGCTTAGAGAGCTCTGAGTATTTCGCTTCGTATATGAAGCCCTTCTCTCGTCTGGACCTATTGAAGCCGTTGGATATATCTGACGGTTGATTTGCAAAATGGTTTTCACAATACCGGTAATACCCTTGGTACTCTTTCAAACTGACATAGCCTATCCCCCGTGTTTCTCTACTGGACGGAAAGGGAAGGGCTTTCACCCCGCAAGTTAACTTCTTTCTCACTCTCACAAGCTCGCAAGCTCACAAGCTCACAAGCTCGCAAGCTTCAATCTCTCTCAACTCCGGAGTCTTCATTCACATAAAGGTAAGCAATCAGTCTCTTCAAAATCTTTTTGATTTTAGGGTTTTCAATCCTCTCAGTTTTTTTTGTTTTTGTTTTTTTTATATCGGTATGATTTCTGTTTTATTTATTTATTTACTTTTTTTGGAGTGATTGTGCAATTCTGTAAACGGAGGTTCATGGGTTTTGTAATTTGATTGATTTATGCTCAATGGTGCTCTGCATTACATTAGTTTTGAGGTCAGACTCAAAGTTCCAAGCTAGGGTTTTCAAGCGGGTTTGAATTTTCTGTTTTTGTTTTGGGTTATTGTGGATTCTGTATACAATGCTTCATGGATTTTTAATGCTAATTTTCCTATGCTCAACCTGTGATGGTGTTCTTCATTTTGTTAGTTTGGAGTTTGGATTCAACGTTCCTACATACAGATTTTTTCTCTGGATTTTGAAATCTGAGGACTTCCCTGTTATTAATTTAGCTTCTTTGAGGCTTCTTCAAGTTGTTTCAAGTTTGTTTACAATTGAGTTTGTTTTAAGTTTCTCCTGCGTCAAATGGATGCCCAGAGTTTCTTGCCCACATGCACAGGACATGGTTCAAATTAGTTTAGAATCCTATGTGTATAGGAGTGAGATCGGTATCTTGCATGTTTAATATCTTCCCCTCTAAGAAACTGCTTCCACAAACCTACTCCTATCATATATTAAATTTTGAATCCCACACAATGTGTTTTTTGTGCTCTTTTTTCTACTTGTTGTGGCAAAGCATATAAATAAGTATGTTGTTAATTGGTCTTTCTCTTTCTTTTTCTTTTTTCTACGCAATTAATTTGTAATTAACACAAATAGTTTTTATGATGCAAAAACTTCATCTTGGTTTGCAATTTTGCATAAAGAAGTTACCCCTTGATCTTATTCTCTATTGCCCCTTTGGCCCAAATCCTAGGGTTTTGCTTATTATGCTTCATTAACCTAGGTTTTTCCTGCTTCAAATCCTTGAATCTTGCATAATCTTTTGCTCAGATGTCCTTTTTTTCTTCTTTTCTGAGATACTTTATCTAGTTCTTATCTTGGTTCAAAAATCCTAAATTTGCATACACCTTTAGTAGGATTTCAAGTAAGAAAGGTTTTTTTTTTCTTTTTCCTTTCATTGACTTATTTTTTGGTTCATTAACTCAAATGTGTCTTTTGCTAATTGGGCAGTTGTGATTTTTTGTTGCTCCAAAGTATGAATTTGGAGCTTATAAGGTGGAATTGTTGTGTTAGGTAGGTTCTGCGAATAAGTAGAAGAGATGATTGCAGAGAAGCCCAGTTGGATTAGGCACGAGGGAATGCAAATTTTCTCCATTGATGTTCAGCCTGGTGGACTTAGGCTGGCCACTGGTGGGGGTGACCACAAGGTGCGACTTCTCTCCTCCTTTGTGCTCTGTTTGCTTGCTTAGGAAATGTAGGAATTCATAAAAAAAAAGAAAGATTAATTGTGTTTTTTTTCCTCCAATATATCAGGATCAGAAACCTGTACTCATGGGGGGGAACATTACAAGTTTTCCCCTTCACTATGTATTGTTTCTCATCATTATTGTTCTGTTTGGTTGGAAAAGTATTAAACAGACGGGAAAAGAAAACCCCAAAATACATTTATTTTGCTTTGTTGTTATAATCTTCAATCGTATCCTCTGCCTTGTTTGGTTGGGAAAATATTGAACAGACCGGACATTTGAGTTTTCAGAGACCCTTGAAAAGAAAACCCCAGAGTACATTTATATTGCTTAGTTTTTAGAATCTTCAATTATATCATCTGCCTTGTTGGTGGAAATTTGATGGACATAGGTTGGAATTTGTGTCTACTGTTGTGTTTGGATTGTGAGTTTACAAGGGATCTGAATTCTTATTAAAAATTGTGCAATTTAAAAGTATTAATGTTATGGAATCTACTATTTGAAATAGGGTGGAATTCAAATACGTCATTTTAAATTCACTCTCTAAATCACTCTATTTTTTCCTCACAATCTGTAACAGGAAGTAGTAAATCTCTGTTTTTTATTTTTCCTGATAGTCAAATACATACATACATATATATATCTCCATCAATTTGCATTAGACACATCTGGTCATAGTCACATTTATATTTATTTTATGGTCGCCTTTGTTGCATCACTTTGCATGGCATCATTTGTTATACTGTGGAAGTGATTGCTTCGTCCCTACTTTGCCAACTACAGGTGCGAGTATGGAACATGAAATCCCTTGGCAGGGATTTGGAAAATGAAGAATCATCCCAGAGGCTACTTGCAACTCTCCGTGATCACTTTGGCTCTGTGAACTGTGTTAGGTGGGCTAAGCATGGTAGGTATGTTGCTTCAGGATCTGATGATCAAGTGATTCTAATTCATGAGAGGAAGCCTGGTTCAGGAACCACTGAGTTTGGTAGTGGGGAGCCCCCTGATGTTGAGAATTGGAAAGTTGCAATGACTTTGAGAGGGCATACTGCAGATGTGGTAATGAAATTACTTTTACCATTTCGATAGCTGGACCACCTGCAATAAATTCCTTCTTTCTATAGTTTTTCGAATGGAGTGTGTTTTGCTTCATGACTATGATCCACCTTTTGTTTTCAAAAAGTCAAGTCATCTGGCTTTTGGGATTACTTTGACCTGCAGTAAATTTGTTTTTTGAAGTTACTGGAAGAGTCACATAATGTATGGTTTTTTTTCTTCAGCTGCCTTTACAAAGGAAAAAAATGGGCCTAATTTAGTCGTTTTTTATTTATATTCTCCTAAATAAATGCTATGGAATTGTATAGTTCCTGGTGGGTATTGTCTTACTGAGGTGCTTTTTTTTCCATGCTTAAAGTAGGTGGATCTTAATTGGTCTCCAGATGACTCGATGTTGGCCAGTGGAAGTTTAGATAACACTATACACATCTGGAATATGAGCAATGGTATTTGCACTGCTGTTCTAAGGGGTCACTCTAGCCTGGTTAAAGGAGTTACTTGGGATCCAATTGGTTCATTTATAGCAAGTCAATCAGATGATAAGACTGTAATTATTTGGCGAACAAGCGACTGGAGTCTTGCTCACAGGACAGACGGCCACTGGGCAAAATCAGTATGTCAATCGTGTAAGTTTGTCTCTATACAGGTTCCAATATCATTGTCTAACAAGTGTTTGTTGTTTCAGCTTGGATCTACCTTTTTCAGGCGGCTGGGATGGTCCCCTTGTGGCCACTTCATTACTACCACTCACGGGTTCCAGAAACCAAGGCATTCTGCACCTGTCCTAGAGAGAGGGGAATGGTCTGCCACATTTGACTTCTTAGGACATAATGCCCCCGTGATCGTAGTGAAGTTTAATCATTCAATGTTTAGGAGGAATATTTCCAATGCTCAGGAAAAAGCAGCACCTGTGGGGTGGACTAATGGGGCTTCAAAGATGGGTGGGAAAGAGAAAGAACCACAACCTTATAATGTCATTGCAATTGGGAGTCAGGATAGAACCATAACTGTCTGGACAACTGCAAGTCCCCGCCCTCTCTTTGTAGCAAAGCATTTCTTTACTCAAAGTGTTGTGGATTTATCCTGGTATGGTTGCCATTTCCAGAAAAATGATTTACCATTAGGTTGTCTGCATATTCTTTTTCATTTTGATATAGCAAATTTTTTTTTGTGTGTGTGTGTTATTCTGTTCTGTAATGTTATTTTTCTTCTTATGGAAACAGGAGCCCTGATGGTTATTCACTTTTTGCATGTTCTTTGGATGGGTCAGTGGCTACTTTCCATTTTGAGGTGAAAGAGCTTGGCAATAGGTTAACTGATGCTGAACTGGATGAATTGAAGAGAAATCGTTATGGTGATGTTAGAGGTCGGCAAGCAAATTTAGCAGAAAGCCCAGCACAGTTATTGCTTGAAGCAGCCTCTGCCAAGCAAGCCCCAAGCAAAAAAGTGGTTCTGGATCAGCAAAACCAGACAGTTGTAAAACCTTCTGTTGATGCAAGGGTTGCAACAAAAACTTCTGTTGATGGTTTAAATAAGGCTTCATTGTCTGCCAGAATTTCTAGTCCTGTGAAGCAGAGGGAATATAGACGGCCTGATGGTAGAAAGAGGATTATTCCAGAAGCTGTTGGGGTGCCTCTCCAGCAGGAAAATATATCTGTTGGGGCTCAGTCGCAGGCTCTTGACTTCCCTCCTATGCATTCTGATAAAAAAAATGATGATAATGGGTTAGCCGCTGCTGATAGTGGCATTAGAGACAGTTCTGTTAGGGGAACACTTGGTAGGAGCACTGAAATAAAGGAGGGACATGGGGTCACTGCTAGAGCTATGATTACCAAAAGCCTAGTTATTGAGAAGGTTACCGCATCCACAGGCAGGGATGAAAGCATAACTGTGGAGCAGTCAGGAAATGCCAAGGCTTCTAGTTCGCTAGGCGCTTCTTGTTCCACTCTTTCAATTAGGGTGTTCGATAAGAAAGAAGGGGAAGATACTGTACCAATTTGCTTGGAAGCTCAACCCCGAGAACAAGCTGCAAACGACATTGTTGGCATAGGAAATACATTTATCATGAAAGAAACAGAAATTACTTGCACAAGGGGGTTGCAAACTCTTTGGTCGGATAGGATATCTGGGAAAGTCACTGTTTTAGCTGGAAATGCAAACTTCTGGGCTGTTGGCTGTGAGGATGGATGCATACAGGTTAGTATATATCTCTTTCACGCATATGTACTCATTAATTTTTGTTTTTTCTTCATTTTTTCCCATGTTTAAACTGTTCATAACAGATATATTTCAAAATAAGTTAAATTCTGCATAATATTCCTTGGTGGTTGCACTTCACAACATCTTATTATACAATTGCAAACATCTAATAAATGTTTTTTCTGTGAATCACCATTGAAGTCAAAGCATTCTATTGCGTTTGCAGCATTTGATATTTAAGTGATTGTTGTAGCTGAAGAAAGATGCTAATATAGTTAATAGGTTCAGAACTTCGATTTTTTTCTCCCTTCCCTTTAAAGCCTATTCAAAATGCTTAAAACTGAAGGTTTTGCCATCATTGACTGGCTTAAGCTCTTGGTTTGATATGTGATTCGTTGTAGGGGAAGAAGAGAGTGAGTTTAAAAAATGAAGGTTAAAGAGATGCAGATACTTGATATGCTATTTTAAGCGTATTTTATTTTTCAAGGATTTATTTAATGAGAGCTTCCAAATTGGATTATATTTCCACTGCTCAAAGGACAACAATTTTTATTCTTAATTAGCATGACTCAGTTAGTCTATGCACCAACTTCACTCCCGGTGGTCAAGACAAGCATTATGACATTTATGTTCATTATAGTCATATGCAGACATGAAAATACCACTAAGCTTGCTTTAAGTGGTTGGATATATATAACCTGTCAACTTTTTGGTTCCCTTGAGTAGGTTTACACAAAATGCGGGAGACGTGCTATGCCAACTATGATGGTAGGATCTGCAGCAATATTTATAGATTGTGATGAGTGCTGGAAGTTGTTTTTGGTTACAAGAAAAGGATCCTTTTATGTGTGGGATCTATTCAAGCGGAACTGTCTTCTTCATGATTCGTTGGCATCTCTGGTTGCTTCAAACCCAAACCCATCTGCAAAAGATGCAGGTACCACATTGAACTTGTCTTTTCAACACATGGAGTGTCTTTTTCAACTGTAGTTGCTTGATAGGCATAGCCCATTCTTGTCGGCATTATGTTTAGATGTGCTTAACGTCCTGTCCACTGTGGCTGTTGGCTTTTATACATGCTTTCCAGGTGTGATCAAAGTTATATCAGCAAAGCTATCAAGATCTGGTTCTCCTCTTGTTGTTCTTGCCACTCGCCATGCCTTCCTCTTTGACATGGGCCTGATGTGCTGGCTTAGGGTTGCAGATGACTGCTTTCCTGGGTCAAATTTTTCAAGCTCCTGGCATTCGGGTTCAACTCAGAGTGGTGAGCTGGCAGCTTTGCAGGTTGATGTTCGGAAATATGTGGCCAGGAAGCCAGGTTGGAGCAGGTGTGTACTAAAATTGCGGAATTGTTCAGATAATATTAATATGTACTGACCGACGCATTGCAGTTTAGTATCTTGCTCTTGGAATTGATCCAGTTGTATTTTCTTATAGGGTGACTGATGATGGAGTGCAGACACGTGCTCATTTGGAAGCTCAGTTGGCTTCTTCACTGGCTTTAAAGTCCCCTAAAGACTATCGTCAATGCCTTCTTTCATACATACGCTTCCTTGCGAGGTATTTATTTTTGCCTCCCTTGTGCATATATTAGTAAATATACCTAGGTGTCCTTCCTTGCACTCATGCTGCTCCTCTTTTCCTCCTCTTTTTCTCTGAGTTGCTCTATTCACATACATAACACGTTGCTAGTAATGTTGTTAAACTCTTTCATTATTATAATGTTCATTGGTGGTGCTTCTCTTTGACTTCAACTAGCATGCTCTGCTTCTGCTTTTTTTTGTTGGTGGCATCGTCTTTTACCCTTTATTTGATTCATCAATATCTTCTACAGAAGAAAACATAAGGTGTGCAATTTGTTTTACAAGTTTGACACTAAGTGTGTTAGAATTGAATGCTTGTTAGACATTCTTTCATCCCCTGTCTCTCCTTCTCTTTGCCCCTCTTGTTGTTTGAAATTTCGTGCATGTTCACGCACCAATGTTGTCAGCAGTGTATAACTAAGAGATAGATGTGTTGATACAGCCTTAAATCTGAAATACCCTTCTTATTCTCGTTTACTAGAGCTTCTTTATTACTTTTTTTTTTTGTCATTTGCAGTGGATTTTGACGCCTGGGGGGTTCTAAAAGTCTATTCTTAAGATGTCATATATATATAGGGTCAGGATCAGGGACGCACATTTTTAACACAAATTTTGACACACTTTTAAGACCTTTAGATCTAACCACTTTCAACGGTGGAGATGAATGCTAGTATAACTTTTTCACTGTTACACCTTGTATCTTCCCTTTTCAGGAATGTCAATATTTAATAGCTTTTTCAGCTTCTTTTTTATCTCTCTTTCCTCCCCCCCCTTTTCTCTCCCTTTAAAACCTTTTCTTCTTTTGTGACAAAAACAAGACCCTTCTTCTTCCTTTATTGTTTCTGCGAAAATCCTTGTTGTATTCTGGAAAAACAATGAGGTAGATGGTGGTCTCACCCACCCACATATACACTTCCAATAATTTTTTTTTGCCTTATCTTTTGTGTTATGAAAGTTATCAGAAAAAGAGAAAGACATTAGAAGAATTCACAATCACAATACTATGGCCAAACTTCAGGAGAAGAAAGATTGAAAGAGGAACCACTTTCGAAGAAACGAAAAGAAATAAAATAAATACAAGACCCAACCCTGTCCTGCCTTCTCCTCATGCATCATTTGAAAAAATTGGCACAACACACCAAAGAGGATTGCCATGCCTTAGATAATCAGACTGTAGATATATCTTGCAGGAACTAAGACAAATCCAAAATATATTTGTTAATAGTCTGATGGATTACAAAGATATTAAGGAGGAAAATGAAAATTGAAAGTCTGCAGTTTTGGGTGTATGTCATCTGTGTATTACTTCATCATTTCTAGAATGGCACAAGAAAATATTTTACAGGGAAGAAATTAAGGAGAAGAAGAAGGATTTTATTATAAAATAAAATAAAAACAGAAAACACAGGAGGGAGGTGATTAATTAAATTGAAAAAGTTATCCTTATCTTTGATATAAATAAATAAATAAATTTGTAATATAAGTTTCTTTTCGACTTTAAAAAGAAAAGAAAAGAAATTAAATTGAAGAAGTTATCCTTATCTTCCAAATCCAGATTAGAAACAAGATTTTAACTTGATAAGAAAAGTCTGTAGAACTTTATGTATATTTGGGTAATAGCTAGGTCAGTAGATTGAGAAGATGCTCCCAAATGATTTCTATTTAGCTAACTTTTTCTTGCAGGTCAAAAAAGAAACGGGTATGAAAACTCATCCTTTGAAGAAAGAAATCCATGGTTGTTCACTTCACATCATACTCCAGCTCAAATGAAAATACTGACAAATGCTTTTTATAAAACTATTTCTTTTGAGAACATATTAAATTAAACAAGGTTTCTCGTTGAAATTTGTGAGGAGAGGGGCGAGAGAATGGCTTATTTCCAAGGAAAATTAATCATATAGTTGTGGGTATTGACCTTTTTTTCAAATGCAATCTTAGCCATTAAAACTGCTTTAATCTAAAGGTTGAAAATATGTGTATAAATTTGTGACTTTGTGTGTGTATATATATATATATATATAATTTGTGTGTATGTATGTATGTATGTATGTATATATGTATTTTTTTTATGATGTTTACGATCTTTAGCAATCCTAAACTTTGATGCATTTTAACTTTAGTCTCTGTAACATTATACATTATAACTTTACGTTTACACTGATTTCAGAGAAGCAGATGAGTCTCGCTTACGAGAAGTCTGTGAGAGTTTCCTTGGACCTCCAACTGGGATGGTGGAGGATACACCTTCAGATCCAAA